AAATCTCAAATGACAATGAAAAAATGTTTTCTACCTATGATTATTCCTCAAAGATTCTTTCTAAATTGTTGAATAAATTAAAAAATCATCTGGGAACAAACTGAAACCCTTGTGCTTCAATATTTGCTCATTGATTGACTTTGGTTGTAATTTTTGGCGTTTTTAGGAAACAAAATTTGACTATTGATTATTCATGCACAGAAAATTTTGTGAACCTTGTCAATCTCAATACTGACAAACAGGAAATAAAGCTGGTCTATCAATCGAAAAATAAAAAAAATTTTGCCTTTTTTCTTGAAATGAAGCATTTCCTCCATCAACAGCAGCCAAGAGTTGTGATCCAAAAATGTCTTCGATTACTTCGCTTGAATGCGAAACTATAGGGACAATTAGTGCAATGCCACACCCAATGACTTTTTGATTTCTTTGGCAAGTTTAATTAAGCCTGGTTTCGTCTCAAGCTTTCTCGTGTTTGACCTGAAACAATAGTTGACCTCACGGAAATCAACCGAAGCTTTCAAGAATCTCGCGCCTTTAAAACCAGTCGCAGTTGACCCAAAAATTCATTTTGAAATGTATGGTATTACCGATCGACTGTTTTTCGCCAATTTTTAGCAAAATATCTGCCGAAAGGTTGTGTGAAAATATAAAACTCGGAAATACACCTAAAATATTCATCGATTATTTCATTGAGAAGAATTCCGAGAAGCGACCAAAATATTCTGTTTTTCGCCAATTTTTAGCAAATTATCTGCCGAAAGGTTGTGTGAAAATATAAAACTCGGAAATACACCTAAAATATTCATCGATTATTTCATTGAGAAGAATTCCGAGAAGCGACCAAAATATTCGCATGTACTCCCTCGAAAATTTCCAAAAATCGAAAATACAAATTCTGAAAATAAAAATAAAAATAAAGAAATCGGCGAAACTGTTTCATGACTCTTTTCCGCTTATCTAAAGATATAAAAAAACTCATCATTATTCTCGCAACAAATGGTTTCCGTCAATAATTAGCCAATAACTCGACCCAACTCATTATATATATACGCGGGATTTGCAAATTCGCATTCAAATCTTTCTTGTTTATTCAATGACTGGCATTGTTCTTCAGCAATTAAGACGGCAGACCACCAGAGTTCATGCAAAATTCTCCTCGTTTGTGTGTTCAATGAAGGGTTGGGATTCAGTTCTCAGGTTCGAGAGGGTTGAACAAATGACCGGAAGTCATGAAATGCTACCCGTTTAAATAAGCAAGGAGAGCATTTTGAGGATTGCTGGTGTCGTGTGAGTTGCTGAAATGTTATGCAAATTTTGGCGAGGGTTACTCACCGTTTTATTCTTGTGGCGTTTATCTGGCATTTTTGTAAGCAAAGAGCTAAATTTCAATGATGCGCGAATAATTTTTAATTTAAAGTATTGATTTCTGCGTGAAATCCAATTTTTGCACAATGCGTTTTACTTTTTATTCGAGAGAGAGAGAAAATTTCAATTGCGAAATTTAGGCGAAATTTTCTTCATAAATTTTCAGAAATGCGGAAGTCCATCGATGAATCATCGTTCTGAAGTTTCATTTGAGTCATTCTCGTCTTCAATTTATTTGTACACCTTAATTATAAAAATTGATATCATCAGGGGTACGGGATAACAGCTGATTTTTCCTGGTAGCATTTAATCATAGATAATATCATCTCAGACGGAATTTTTGGAAGTGTGAGGGTATAATTTCACAAATTAAATGGCAGTTTTGTTTAAACTTCAGCTGAAACTGAAAATTGCAAGATTGATTTATCGGATTCATTTGCTTTTTAGGGATCGTTTATATCGTATTCCAAGTCTTATTTTTCAGGAATTCGACGCATTATCGATGCATTCCAGAGTTTTCTTAAATCTCAAAGATAAATCCCATCAAAATTTGATTCCTACGATAATCACACGATGGATAATGATCGAGTTTTTGGAGATTTCTGCTTCAAAAACTGGTTTTAAACTTGTCGTTGAAGGTGCTAAATATAATCACTCGCCATTTTTGCTTTTCACTTCGAAAGAGAAGTGAGAACAAAGAGCCAGGGACTGTTTTTTTTCATCTCTTCACAAAAGAAATTCGCGAAAATCTCTTCCACTAGCTTTGCTCAAGTTTGTGAGTTTCTTTCGCCATTCTTTTCTTTTCTTCCATTTTTTTTCAGAAAAAAAGAAGGTCCAAGATAAAATAAAAGGGGGAAACGGATGCACTTGCTCGAATCGCGATTCGACGCGCTTTGTAATTTACTTGTGCCAGGACGAGAGCAGCAGACGGAAATAATTGAAGCGAGAGCAATTAAAATTCTGAGAGAGAGAAAATCAAGCTTTTTCTCCGCTTTTTATTTTCCTAAAACCACCTTTTTTGACTGATGAAAATTTTTTTAGATTTTGTGTCGGCGTGAACGTTGACCGGAAATAATTGAAATTTTGAGAAAAATGAGTGAAGAAACGTGACCTAAATTGCTTCGGCACATGTTGACACTTTGTGTAAATTTAACCGCGAGAATTCATTATCTTTTGCTTGATTTTGCTCTGAAACTCAAGAGGATACATTTAATATGAACACTTTGCATAATAAAACTTTCCACTGCTGTTCCTCAAACTGCACATTTCTTCTTTCATGAAAGTTTGAGGAAAAACATGTTTTTGCATATCCTATTGGTTTTCAAGTTTTGTTTTTCCCCTTTCATGCACAATATTCAGTCTTTCATATACACACTATACAATCACTTTGTTGGCAATCGTGTAGCATCAATTTACACGTCATGGAATGCATCATGGAACATGTCCTTCTTGTGTCTAAAATTGATACAACTTGACTTGCTTCCACTTTGTGCTCCTTATGAACATGTTCCAGTCCATGTCATTTTCCTGGTATACATGGGCCACAAATTTTCACACTTGATTATACAGTATACTTCAGAGGCACTTTTGATTGACACATGTTGTTACACTAACCCTTAGGCGGCAAAGTCGGACTATTTTTGCAAAATTTTGTTGCACCTCAGGGCAGAAAATAAAAAAAGGACAACAGGGATTTGAGGACAAAGTCGGGGAAAATCCAATGTTTTTTCTTTTTGCACAGAAAAATTTTGTGGGAAAATGAAAAAAATGCTATGCTAAGCAATGGGCTTTTCTTGGATTAATCCCAACTTTGCCTCAGCCCACCTGGAAGGTCTTTTCTGACCTTCAGAAAAATTAAAACGCCTTAGCATACAAAAATAATCCAATTTCGGCCGGCAATGGGAAAGAACCCTTCGCCGTCCAAGGGCTGAAGTACATGGTTTTCCTGGACATGTCTTGGTAAACTTTAACTCAAAGCAATCAGAAAAAAGTAAACAAACAATCATATTGATTTCCTTGTATCTCTTATTGACAATACTTCTATATTACTCAGCATAATTTTCACTTCAGAAGAATCCATTAGACAATACTAGGATTTTTCATATAACTTGAGAAAAGCGCATATGAATAACAGCAATATGGAAGAACAGAAACAAACTAAAAATTGGAAATTAAGTTTTCGAATGAAAAAGGTCAACATCTCTTCAATGAGAAGCATTGATTTTTGTTCATCTTCTCATAAATGGGAAATAATAGTCATTATATGCAATGCCCTTGAGGCCAAGAACACATCCATTCACTTCATTCAAGTGTGCTATAAACAAGCGTTTCCTATATCTTCCAGCAACCTGTTTTCTCAAAATAAAACCATGGACAAAAGGAAAAAGATTCAATGGCGTATATATATTGACTATCGCATTTCCACGCTTTTTTATGACTTGAGATGACGTAGTTAATCCGCAAGTAGGAAAAAAAGCGAATAAGTAACTATTTTTAGCACTGCTTGAACCACATACGATACTTTCTCCAACTACAAAAACGCGATTAACGCAAACTTGTTTTTTAAATTCGCTACTGAAAAAAATCGGAGAAAATTGCTCAGAGACGCGAAGGAGTGACTTTTTGAAATTGAAATTTCAAGCAATTTAATGAATACCGTGTGTTTAAACAACTTTAAACAGGTGTTCGGGGAAATAAAACGCAAAAGTGCGTCGCGAAAAAAATCAATTTTAATTGATTGCGGAGATAATTCCCCCTGCTAGCGAGTCACACATTATCAGGATGGGTATCAAACCCAGGGTTCCACATCAGGTGTATACGAAAACTAACAAACACAGCTGCCAGGAAATATTCTCATTTATTCATGAGAGATTATAATCTAGGATGAGTTGGAAGTTTTCCGCAAAAGTTTCTGGTATACAGCTCGTCTGGAAACTTCTGCAAGAACATTCTTGTTTTGCAATGCGCTAAAAATTCCTTATAGACTGTCATTCCAAGTTTCAACGCATTACATGTTTTTTTTCAAAATAAACGAATTTCATGATCAGCGTTTCTTCAAAGCAATGAGACTCACGATTAAATTTAAGCAACGTTTGATAGATGAATTTGCAATTCCGAGTTGATAAGTCTGGCTTCTAACAATTTTCAAAAACAGCAACCAATAAAAAATAAAGTTGTACAGAATATCATTTTATTCTTCAGAATAAGTCAGTCAAAAACAACGACTCTAAATAAATCCTTCTTGGAAATTGATTGAGAAATACAGTCAACCCCTGCACAACAAACTTAACTCATGGAACATACTAGTCTGTTGTGTGGAAAGTCTGTTACACAAATTCAATTATTAAAAAATTTACTTTTTACTATTAATTTTAAACCAACAGAAGTCTGTTAGGTGGATTTAGTCCATTATTGTGAGGGGGGTGAAACCTCCTCATCCAGAGGTATGTTGTGCAAAAATCCATTGTGTGAAAGGTCTGTTGTGCGGGGATTGACTGTAAATACTCTCAATGGAATTCAAGTTCCATCAGTCATGCATCAGATGATATAATTCATCAAATGGTCTCTGATCTCAAGGATGAGACAAGAATTAGTTTTCCTATATTTATTCCTTATTCAAGAAATTAAATTTGAAGGACATTGCATCGAAAAAGCAGCTCTGCTGGGATTGGATCCGATTCGCTATATAGTGGTTTGAAGCGCAGGTGAGCAGATGACCTCAGAGACTGGATAATCAGTCCACATTTTGACCTTGTATACAGGAAAAAGAAATCACCTTATAAAGCAGACTCAAACTCGTTTTTCATTTCTTTCATCTGTCCTTTTCTTTATTGCAATCCCGGGGAATTTTTGCTTCTTTTTTCCCGTTCCGGTTCTTTAAGATCACGATCCGTGAACGAAATTACCTTTGCATGGTCACTGGCTTAGTAAAAATCAAACCGAGTTGTATGCTTATTTAGTGACATTTTTGCAAAAGAACTTTTGAGCTATTTTCTATGGAAGAATTAAGCTGAAGAGAAGCGATACTTTCGGGATGTCTACAGAAAAATAAATAAATAAAAGGAATTTGTGTTTCGCTTGAAGGTACAAAGTAATGTAAGAATGTATTCAACACTCGAAAACAGCTTTCGGATCGGCCATAACTTCGTCCAGGCGAAACCAGAAAAAGATTGTGCAGGGGCATGAACACCAGAAATTGCAGACACCGTGATTAGCTTTTTCCGGTCTTGCTTTTATTCCAAAACGCCTCAGTGATTCCATTTCAGCACAGTTACTCACAAAATACCTGCTTCTTTCATTCCTGAAACCCCGTATATATGAGAAGAGCTTCTCAAAACAGGCCAAAAATGTCAAATGAAGAAGAAGAAGGATCAGATGTTTGTAGATTTTCAATGATTCTTTTCTTATTACAGAATAAAGGGATCAATCGAGAAGGTAGCATTGAACGTGATTTCAAAGAAAATGGTTTATCATCCATTCACTGCTGACGTCCGTGCCTCCAAAGTTTTCTTTATCTTCACATAGGTGTCGCCCGAATTTTTGCTATGCTTGTAATTATGACTGGTGTTGGGGGAGGTTTCCAGTTTGGGAAACAAATACAGTATTTGTTTTTGGGGAAATAAGGAAGAAAATTTTCAGAAAATTGTAATTGGTGATATTCTATGCCTTGAATTGTTTTTTAAATGATTTGACATTACGCTGAACTTGGGAGGCAAGGGTTCATTTACTCAATTAGTCTTTCACATCTTTTCAAAACGCATCAAGTTACATTTTTTTGCTTTTCTCTTTTTCCTGTGCCAATAAAATAATAACCAGAAAGCCTCCAGAAAAGAAATGCTGTGGAGGTTTGAGGAAGATAAATCTTTTGAAACATTAAGGAGGTTTTCAATGCATTGATTCTCAATGAATTCAAATAGGACTATAAGAAAATAGAGTACTGTACTGCATATATGGAGGTACAGTGGTCCCCTGCCTAACAGACCTCCCACGTAAGGGATTTTTGCATAACAGACCAGCTCTGCAGGCAGTTTTCCTACTGCCCAACAGACAAAATCTGCCGAACAGACTTCTGTTGGTTCAAAATCTGTGTTGACCATTGAAAATTTTTAATTGTTTAAGTAATCGAATATTTCTAAGGGCCTTTTTGTCAAACAGACTTGTCCATTGCACACATTAAGTCTGTAAGATGGGGGTTGACTGTATTTCACCTACACATGGAGGTTATAGTCCTTGAGGTTCAAATGTATTTAAAGGTTGTTCAGATCAGGTTGGCTTGAAGAAGCTTTGCCTGAAGATTTTGTCATATGTTCCACTTGCTTCAAAACTTATTCCTGAATCAAAAAAAGTAATATTAGTCAAAATTTGCTCATATGTCTGTGAATTTGATGTTTTCTGATGCTTGGGTTTCCAAATTATGCAACCAATGTACAAAATTCTGAAAGGCCAGGTTAGACCTGAATGTGGAAATGACCACTGATGATTATCGACCCAGCAAGCAATTTAAGCGAAGATAAAACCGGATGTTCGGGCTCGAAATTGTCTTTATAATAATCTCTAGAATTTCCCCAAAGCCTCTCGAAAATGTTCAACAGCTTAATTCCCTCTACGAAAAAAACCAACCGAAATCTTCTTTAAACTTCCTTTTTTTTATTCTGCATTTTCCTTCGGGAAATATAAATCGCTGTGATCCATCAGAATTCTCGCTATATACATAAGTATCACGACAGCGGCAAACAGGACATGACCAAGGAAACAAGGCGAGAGATAAAATGATACGCTCTATTTAATGAAGATTCAAATAAAAACGCAGTGCGCAGATTTAGTACTGATCATCATGCGTCCTACTTTTTTCGAAAAGAAATGTGCCATTTTACTTTAGCAAGCCCTTGATGATGCTTAAGTGGCGATTTGCTGCTGCGAATTCCAGCAGGAGCAGCAGAGAGAACACTCGGGAATTTTGGGTTCTCTTCACAAAATTCAGCACGTTTGCAAAAACAAAAACAAAACGTTTAAAATTTGAATCAGTACCGAAACAAAAATTACGGCGTATCGAAATCACGGAGAAGCAGCTAAAATTTCTAGGTTAATTTGCTAGAAACAAAATCAAAGATGGTTCAGGAGCACACAAGTATTCCAACTATGGTTTTTTTTTAAAGAAAATTTTGCTCAGAAGATTGATGGAAAACTTACCCATGGTGAAAATGAGATTAGTGGAAATCTTCATCACTTTTCCGCTCCCCGGGAGGAAATAAAAAATCCACCTACTCCTCCGTCACTTTTTTTTTTTTTGCGCAACCGGGCGAAGAGGTCGCAGATTTTTTGCTGAAATGTTCACTGAAATCTCAAACGCAAGGCGTCACTTTAAAAAATTTGTCACCGACAACAGCGTGCAAAATTTTGCTTCACGCGAAACGTCAAATTATTGCAGTAAACGCTCTGTCCATCCCAAATTTCTGCGAGGAACGAAATGAACAGCAAACTCAAGATTCGAAATTATTTTTGTTCCTCCTCGAAGCTTCACCAAAGAAAAATTTTGCAATGGGACTTACATTCAAAAATGGAAATTTTTTCAACAAAAGCGTAATTTTAATCCTCTCAAGGTTTATATCGCAAATTAATGTGAATCGCAGCAATATTCAGGATTTTAGCTCTCGATTTTTTTTCTAGTGATTTTAAGCTGTCATCGAATTTAATTTCAATATTTGAAATCAAAAATGTTCCAGGGATTCCGGAAAAAAAACATTGAGGCTTCTACTTTATTTGAAAATCACCATTGAACAGCAAATGACTTTGAAAATTCCTTCCGCTGCAGCAGTCGGGCTTTGATTAATTATTCCGAACCATCCTGAATAGTCAAGTGTCAATTATTCAAATTCGGAGCTGAGTTTGTGTATCGGAATTTTGCGTGGGACTGATGACGAAGTGTACTGTCTGTCACTCAGTGTAGGCGTCGACGGGAACTGCGAGGGGAAATACTGGTGCGTTGCGGTTTAGTGTCGGACCTGATGAGCACCTGCTGCTGGTTGCTGGCTTGGTGCTGGTGTAGCAGGTATCTTGAAAGAAACAGAAAAGAAAAACACTGGTGGTGGCCCTCAAGAGATGAAGTTGACAATATTTCCTTTTTATAAAAGCTTATAATAATTGGCCCATCAAAAGGATATAAAAAACTAATTTTCTATTGCTGCTATATGCTGCAGCCAACTGACTTGGATCCCAAATTATTTTCAAAGTACAGTGCCATATTAACTTGAATACCAGCACACCTTGAGTGAGATGTGCACCTCAATTTTTTGGCGTAGAATTTTTGCAAAATCTATCCCTGTGTGTGATCTGCATGCAAATTTTTGCTGGTTTGAAATACTATATTTACCTTTAAATTATGGTGCTTAACTTAATAATCAGCTGAATAATTTTAATAACTGGAAGCACCTCTTGTAACAGGATGCAGCTGGTGCCCCACAATTTGACCCTAACCTATTTCCGGACATCAAATGGCATGTTCTATGTGACATTTGACATTTTGTGTCTCTCTCCAGTCAATTATATGTGGCAGAGGTTGAATTGCAAGTCAATGTCATCTCAGAAAAGTTGAATGTCAAATTGCAGGACAGTTGAATTGAGGGAGATCACATTGCAAGGTACCACATGTAAATCTCATCCATAATTCCTTTTCATAATTTTCTCTTTGAGTGTCCTATTATTACGACTGGCACCGCTAATTTCCTGATTTTTTTTAATTCAGATAGCACTTATTACCATACACGTCCTATACTTTTCTACTTTCGTTTTGGAGAAAAAAGGTGTATGTGGTGCTCGATCAGGGCAAATTATACTTCAAGGCAAAAATTATGCTTCAGTATAGGCAGAAATTATCATCTTTCAAGTCCTTTAGAAGTTGAAATGGTTTAAATCAGTCCCCAATCGTTTTGGGTCCAAAGACTGGCAAATTTCCACAAAAATTTTTGGGGACTGGCAAATTTCCCAAAAATTCTCTGTAGACTGGCAAAGTTGCATAACATGTTTATGGGCTCAGAAATGTTTTGCTTGAAAGACTCTATGGCAGGCATTCAAAAAGTGTCTGCTTCTCTGCAAAAATGAAGAACCAATAAAGCAGCTATATTCATATATATTGGAATGTTTCTTTTTTAATTATAAAGGTGAACTTGAAGAAAGGTTTCTCAGAATAAAACTTAAAAAAATTATTTATTTCAGCAGGTGAAAATTTGTCTGTACAGTATTGACATTAGGAGAAAAGCTACCTTTGAGTTTTTCATCAAATAATTTCACCTGCCATTGTCTTTCCAACATTTCAAATAGAAAGAAGACTACATTGCTGCTTTTATCAATTCATTATGCTGCGGAAAATTTCATACATACTGGCAATAACAAAAATGTCTGCAAGCTGGCACTGGTCTGTGGACCACAGGTTGGGGAACACTGGCTCAAATTATGTTCCAAACATGCTTTGCTTTCTCAACTGCCATAATTGTTAAAAATATTTTCTTGCGCGTAAAATTTGATGATTCCATTTTAAAAAGAAAACTTCATCAAAAGCTCAGAAAAGTTGATTGAGGCAGGGTGTTTTATGCACTGTGAAGAATACTCTAGTTTAATTTTCAAGTTGCTGCAATATTGTAAATCAAATTAAAGTTCACGTCAGCATCCAAAATGCTGCATACTCCTGTTATACACAGTACAAACTGCTACATCGGCAGCGCGGGATGCCCTCGGGGTAGAGGAGGGGGGGGGGTTGGATCGGTCACCGTTTCCGCCCCGCGCCGTTCCGGTCCCTTGGTCGCCCCCCTCACCATGTATGGAGACTGCGTTGTCTATATGTACTGCACTGAACTGCTGATATGCTCACCGGGCTTTGCGAAAGGTTATACTGCGTGATTTCGGCGGAGGCGGCGGCGGTGGCGGCGGTATATGGGGTGCGCACGCGCCGTGCAATCACGCCGCGCATGCCAGCCTCACATCGCATATCATCCAATGCATATAAGAGCTGCAGCACCATCGAATATCGCGATGCAGGTGTGTTCTTTTTCTTCATATACAGGTGCTGGACGACTCTGCTGTCTCGTCTCTACAATTAAATTCACGGGACCACAGTAAGAATTCGCTATAAAAACACAAATTTCATTGT